ATCTGTATTTGGAATCAAAAAGAGAGGTCTGCTCAAATATCTCATGAATAGAATGTCAAATGCCAAGAAAGTGTGGAACTTCAGTTCTTTGAAAACTTTTGTGTTAAACTGTAATTTTTCTTTGTATTGTAAAGAATTCAATGCACTTTGTCCTCATTACACTTCTTCATGAGTTACTTCTGGAGCAAGCATTACAATATGTTTCATCTATTTCAGAGAGAGTGAATTCTCCTGCTCACAATCCCTAAATTTGGATGCTATCATATACAGTAATACCTCGACTTACACGAACCCAGAGTTACATGATTTTCAAATCTCGTCAATTCATCTTTTGTTTGAGCACCACGCAACCCTTGATTACTCACTCTCCCCACACTATTGTTCAGCTGACATGTTCGGATGTGTCGTGCGGAATCGACACATAGCTACAATTTATTTTGTGTTATTTATTTCTGTATTTGTTATACCTACAGAGACTTGAGAGAGACTACTATGTCATCAAAATGAAGTAGAACTAATTCTTCTGCATCAAACAAGAAAAGAAAAACTTTTATCTTTGGAATGTAAAGTTAACATTGGGTATGTTCGTAAAGTCGAACGAGTTAAATGAGAATGACGTCGTCGTTATTCCTATTTTGTTAGACTTTTCAAACGATTTGTTACTAACGCATTTAACTCGTTTGACTTCGATATTAAAGACTTCAATACAAAAATGAAAATTTGTGAATTGGCAAAGAAGTTTGATCTACCAGAATTGTCGGTCAGAACAATTATAAAAGGCAAAGAAATTCTCGAAGCTGTGAAAAATGCTCAATCTTTAAATTCAAGCATCATTCGTAAACGTCACAGTATTATCATTGAGATGGAAACAATGTTAAAATTATGGCGTAATAATCAAGTAAATGTGAAAAATTGTAAAATAATATAGGCCTAATTTGTTATACATATGTATTATCTAAGATTTTATTAAACATTTTTTTCTAAATTATTGTTTTCTTTAGTCTCCGGCCCCAATTAAAAATTATTTGTATG